ATGAGCGTGGCATCTACGCGTCCTGCATCAATTTCATCTTGGCTGGCATCTCCAATCTGACGGGTGTGGTTGCTGGCCCGATCGCCTCGAATATCGGATGGCGATGGCTGTAGGTTTTTCTTGGTTTTCTTTTTTTTTCCTGCTCTCCTTTCTCTTGATGCACGTGGTGGACGTCTTGTGGTTCTGATCCGGATCACGCTGATCTCTCCTCCTGGCAGGTATTACCTTCTGGTCCTCTTCGGCGGCATCCAGACCATCTTGCAGTTCCTGTTCGTCCCCGAGACCAGCTACGTGCGGGACCGGCGCTACGAGATCGACGAGGTCAAGAACGACAACCTCCAGGATCTCGCGGCACTCGAGTACCAGGAGAGACTGAATCTGGAGAAATCCGACGTGGCGGCCGCGACACACACCGAGGAGACCGAGGCGCAGCGAGCGACGTCGACAACGGCCGACGAGGTTCCCGTCTACCACAAGAAGACGTTTGTGCAGGATCTGGCCATCTTCAGCGGCACGTACTCGAATGAGAACTTTTTCCAGCTCCTCCTCGCGCCCTTTGCCGTGGTGCTCAACCTGGCCGTGTTGTGGATCCTGATCGTCAACTCCATGTTCGTGGTCCTGTACGTGGTCATTGCGTTTTGCCTGGCGCAGCTGTTCGCCCCGCCCCCCTACCTCCTCAGCCCGGCCAGCATCGGCTACCTCTCGCTGGGACCCTTTGTGGGCGGCATCCTCGGGTCCATCATCATGGGCGTGCTCTCGGACCCGTTCATCAAGTGGTGCGCGCGGCGCAACCGCGGCGTCTACGAGCCCGAGTACCGGCTGATCCCGTGCGTGCTGGGCGTGTGCTCGGGCGTCGGGCTGATGCTGTTCGGCCACCTCGTCTCAGAGGGGGCGTCGCCGTACGCGTGCGCCACCGTGCACGGCTTGATGCTGTTCGGCGTCATGTTCCTGTGCATCGGCACGTCCAACTACGCACTGGACGCGTACCGGGGAATGGCCAACGAGATCTTCATCGCCAGCATGTCGGTCAAGAACCTCATCCTCTACGGCTTCAGCTATTTTGTCAACAACTGGACCGCCGCCGTCGGGCCCCAGCACGCCTTTTACGTCTGGGGTGGCGTCGCCTTTGCGTTGGTCGCCACCGTGCCGCCCATGTTTGTCCTGGGCAAGAAATACCGCAGCTACTGGGCCCGCAATAATTTGCTCGAGAAGATGCACGTTCGCACGCATGAGGAGTAGGAGGGGAGTTATTTCTCGGGGGATGGGGAATCCGTTGAATCTGTCTTGTTGTGGCGACTGTGGAAGATGATCTATCTATCTATCTAGCTGACTGACTGACTGTCTGTCTATAACATACCTAGCTAAGCGTTACAGAGATTGTGCCGAGCTATGACGAGCCCGTACGTGTGGGTGATTCTGAGAGTGACAGAGTGACAATCACATCGTGACTCACCAATAGATGCAGGGACCAGTCACCTTCTCCCAATTTCCATTCCAAGATGCGCGACGGGTGACTCGTTAAGTGGTGTATGTATGTATGTATGTATGTGCATGTCTATCTAGGGGTCTATTCTTCCTACATTTGCCCAAGAGTAGCCTGGCTGCCCGCGGCCCGTGGAACCAAGAGACCATCATATCCGGGAAGGAGACTTGTGAAGGGACTCGTGTGCACTTTTTTTTTTTTTTGAGCGTGTGTAGCAGTAGTAGCAGCAGCACAAAGTGTCTGTTTTTCCTCTGCCTTTTCTCTTTCGCCGCCATGCCGGGCCGCTGGGGTATGCTACCACCATACAACCCCTCCCAGTTCTCAGAGACCCATCCTGAACCGTCCGACCGTCTCGTTCAGGCGATCAAACCCGACCTTCTCCGCAATCTGGAGGATCGACTTGCCTCTCCCCGTCTCCAATGCTTCTGCATCCTCAACCACCCTAGCCGTCACCTTTTCCCCCTTCGACGGGCCAAATACCTTTGCGGTCCTCTTCTCGCGCGTATACCCCGGCCAAGGCTGCTGTCCGGCCACAAACCGCATGAGATCTAGCCCGAACGCTTCGGCGGCCGCCCTCTGCGCGGGCGGCAGGTTGTGATTGTGGTTCTGGAACAGGAAGACGACGTCGAGGACGTGGGTGGCGCGACCCTGGTAGGCGCCGGGCCAGGGGTTGGGCTCGTTGAAGAAGAACGTGAAGATTTTCGAGCTGGATGAGGATGAGGAGGCTGGCCAGCCGCGGGCGAAGCAGGTGGTCGCACCCAAGAAGCTGACGTCGTTGACGAATTCGAGGAATCTGATAAACGCCGTTTCGTCGTCCAATCCTGAATCGCCAAAGCCGTACGCCTCGAGTAGGGTTTCTGCAATGTCCGGCGTGGTCGCGAGAGAGGACCGTATTGACGCCGGGAACTTGTTCCCGATACCCGGTTTCAGGTGCCCCAGCATGAATCCAAGGACGGAGGCCTATAACGGAGGTCAAGAAGACCGGTCAGCACCAGCACGCACCAGCTGCCGGAGTCCATTCGAGAATGGCTAAACGTACGTCAAATTCGCTGTTCCCGATCATCAAAGCATCGACCCACTGCTTGCCGGGCATGCTCTGGTCGGATTGATCGGCCACGCCCGCAAACGTCGGCTCCACAGGGACGACATCCCCGTCCACGGTAGGCAAGAACGCGACCGAGGGCGGCAGTTTCGCAATGATCTCGTCCATCGGCAGGGTCAGAAGTTTCTGGATCCGTTGGTCGACGTCGAGGTTTTCCAAGTCCAAGATGGACAAAACTTGTTGGTATGTGCCTTCTTGGTCCGCAGGGGTGATGACCGGGACGAGCAGGCATGAGCCGCCTGTGGCGATGGCGCGGTGGAAGAGTGGCTCTTTGGAGTACAGGTGTAGCGTGGTGGCCACTTGAAGTGTTTCATCAGCAGCCTGTAGCATAAGGAATGTGTAATTGGGATCAGAAGACATGCCATACCTGCTCCCGCGCTCTCGCCAATCACGGTCACCTTGTCTGGATCGCCGCCAAACCCGGCAATGTGCTGCCTGACCCAGCGCAACGCTGCTTGCTGATCACGGAGTCCGCTATTGGGTTTGTATCCCTTCTGGCGCAACTCCTCCGACGTCAACATGCCCGGGAAACCTAGACGATAGCTAATTTCTTCTCAGCAAAGTGTCTAAACGTTAGGAGTGGTTCCCCTGTCCCCTCCCCGAATTGTTTCCTCGGCCGAAGGGTGTGACTATACGTACTTGATACCCACGCCGATCACAGGAACCCCATTATCATGGGCCAGCTTGACGATTCTGGCGTGGTCATAGTGCGGCCAGGAGTTTGCCCCGACAACGAAGCCTCCGCCGTGTATCCAGACGAACACCGGAAGCTTTTGCTTTGCCAGGTCGACCCCGTGCTGTCCTTTCGGCACTGTGATGTTGAGATTCAAGCAGTCTAGGTCCAAGTGGACAGTCGACGGCTTGGGCATTGACTGCTGGATGAAGAGCATCTCATTGTGATAGCCATTCGGGGGAGAGAACGACGAGGGTCTGCAGGTGGCGTCAGTATCTCCAATACTCGGTGGGGGACAGTTAAAAATTCACCCATGACTTGTGGCATCGACTGGGCTCTCATATCTCGATTTCACTTGGGCTTCCGCAAGCCTGTCCTGGAGAGTGGCATATTGAACTCCGAAGAATTGGTATACGCCGTCGCCGTCAACGCCCTTGACTGCTCCTATAGAAGGATGTTCCACCGTGACTGTCGACATGGTGATGGTGATAGAGCCGAGTCAGGGAGAAAGCTTTCTCTTCAAAGATGGGCCCAGCCTCGTCAGGGGTCAGGACACCGTATACCTAGCACGAGATAGTTTTTACCCCAACCCATAGACTTGCGGAGTCGACAAGTCGACAAGTCGATACTCTGGCTTCACTGGGTGATATGGGGTCCCACAATGTGGAGGGGCCCCACATTCCTATTCCAGCCCATTAAGGACCAGCTCCACCACTTTTCAGGAAATGCTGCTTGGCACTGAAAGAGGAGTGTATGTAAAAACTGGCTCGCAAACTCACATGCCACTCAGCCCCGACCGTGCCGCTTTTATAAAGACGTCACCTCCACACTCACCTCGCTCTCGGATATACGAGAGCGCTTTCGGTTTCATGGAGCCAGCCAGTATCCTACGTGCCCGTCGGAATATCACCTTTGAGCGCATCTTCGCATAGGTTTTGGCAATATACAGGCCTACAGACAACATCATATGCTCAGCTGCTAGAAGGAGAATAGACGGTAATGTAAATTGTACATGGACAATACGAGTAAAAAAATTAGATCTAAATCATGGGGTATAGACCAGTCATATAATGCCAAGAATATCTTCGTCCCAAAAGGGTGACTCTCCGACCTCAAGGGGGCCTGGCCAAGGCCGAGGATAAGGCACTAGTCTCCAAACAGTACTGTATGCTGTCATTGACAAAACTCCCCTGGGCCAAATCTCACAACTGATCTCGGGCAATGCCACCTTGAAGGACTCTCCATTTACAATGTGACTTGTAAATTTGTTGCAAGTTAGCCTCTTCTACGTGATAGATATCCTCTGGCCGAGAGTGGCCCAAACCTATACAACCCTAGCTGGTTGGTACTCGAACCATGGGCCTCCCTAACCTTCGCATGGTCGAACATGGCTGTACATCTCAACAACGCCATTGCGGGCGTGGTCACATATTGTCTTGTCCTGTTTCAGTTCCATGTCCGCGCAATCTCACAATAGTGAGTTTGGCAGGAAGCGTTGACCTTTGTTACAGAGGTAGATGCGGATCTTTGGAAGATCCCGGACGGCAGCTTCAAAATGAGTAAAAGGCAGATTTTGATCCAGTATTTAATATGGGCGTCCAGTCTGTCTATTGATCAATTCTTTTCTCTCTCAGAGTCTTCATTCATATAAAATCACCAATACCGCCCCTTGCCACTCTTTTCAATACCCCCATCAAACCTGAATACTTGTCGGACATCTCGAACCAGAAGTTCAAAGCATCATGCCCCTTATCAAGCCTTCTGCTGTCCTCCTTTCCCTTGTCTGCGCAGCCTCGTCAATTTTGGGTATTTTTTCCGCGAATCCAATCGTGGGCGGCCCCAGCGCCGAACCTGCCTCATACACGCTCGAAGCGGTCCATCAGTTCCTTAATTTCATATGGCTTGAGAATCTTGTAAGTTTTGCGCCGGCCGGATCGCTCCTCGTCTTAAAGAAAGAAAAAAAACCAGAAAGAATACATTGATTCTAATCAGATCTAAATTCATACCAGTCAATCCCCTCTACCGGTGAAATCGTCGCGACTGATATTTCCAACGGCGTCATCTACCTCGTCTACCCAGCGGAGAATCCTACCCCTGCCTCAGCCATCGCGCAACTTCCTCCTGGCACCTGCTTGACTGGCATCGCGGAGCTCCGTCCCGATGTTTTCTACGTCCAGTCCGTCGACGGCTTTGTGTACAATTTCACTTTTACACCGGGTTCCGCGACGCTGTGGGAGGTCGATCTACGCGATTCAGCTCGTGGTGCCGTCGTGACCAAAGTTCTGAGCATGCCCGAGAACAAGGTCCCGAACGGCCTGTGAGTGCTCCCGGCTGGAAGAAAGGGGAGAGGCGAATCAACCTTACTCCTGACCGCAGATTCCGGTGGTGGAGTGGTCTATCTCATCGACGTGGTCAGTAAAAGCTACAATATAGGTATTTCCGGAGGAAACTGCGATAACTGTCGAATTCGTTCTCGAGTCGGAGCCGACGCGCGCTTTGAGCCATGTGACGGCTAAAGAAATTGAATTGCTGGTTGTAAGGAATGCCTTTGGGGACACGGGGTGAGCAGCTCGAGAGTTTCTTGGTTGCGGACAGCGAAACGAGGGCGCCGAGAGCACTCATCCAGAAATGCAGGCCGGGGAATTCCAGGAAAGAGGATGCTTCGGGCTTGGCCGTTTCCAAGGCCTCTTGGAGTTTGGGCAGCGAACAGTGAGTTCGGCCCCGACGTATTCGGTGATGCTCAGGATCCATAGCAGTGTTGCGATCCGCAGGGCTTCGTGGATGCCATCCAGGTCGGTCCGAGCTAAGAGGCGGTAGTTTAACGCTTGAACCTTGAGGTACAGCCACCGTTCGTGTTCAGGCTGCTCCGGAATTTGGTTCGGTTGTGATGCCGAAGCGTGGTGACTTATCGCACACGCGCTACTAGATCGACGAGAGGAGGACACAGATTGATATGGCCAACCTTCAGGCTCAAAGGCTATCGTCAGTACCGGTGCAGACATGGTGAAGAATGCGACAAATCTGTGTGGCAGTCAGGCTCAAAAGCTCTGAGCCGAGAACAAGGAACAAAGGCAACTTACTTCCCTCCTAGAATTATGCTTTCCATAATCAGGGGCGACACCTTTGTCATTCCGCCGACTTATGATATGAGGACTTGAACAGCTCTCATGTACGTGGCAGCAGCATCAAAGTTGAACAGCCACATTTCCGCGGCAGCTAGCCCGATACATGACCAGAGAAGAGCTTCTTCTACTTGTTCCAACCGCTGCAAGCGTTCTCGAATGCTTCGGTACGTCTGTTGGATGAAATACTCGGGTGGGAACTCTTCAAAGCGAACACCGTACCGCCAACCAATGGCCCCTGAGGCGTACGCCAGAATCGAAAACATCATCATATCGTTCTGCAAGGCATGGCGCATTCGCTCCGAATATGCAGCCTCATGATGAAAGGCCCCAGTCCGCGATATCGCTTCCAAAGGGTGGCCCAAGGCCTCGGCTCGAAAGGTAGAAGAGTTGAAATCAGACTGCAAGAATTGCATCAGTCGGTAAGCCGAAAAGTGATGAATCATGTTGGTGCTGTTGAAAGGATCGATCGAAGTGCCTGAAGGCTGAACAGAAACGGATACGACACTCGGGTGGTCCAGCTCTTCCCCTCTGGCCGCACCCCAGAAGTAATGGTTCCAATGCGACTGAACAATGGTGGTGCTCTCAGATGAAAATGGGAAGTCGATGGTGGTGGAGTTGACCTCAGGAAATTGCGAGCGTTCTCGTGAAGTGGTCTCTTCCTGGTTATCAGAGGTCGGTCGTCTGCCCCGGGACCTTTCCTTAGGGATCGATGCCACGGCTTGTAGGAGGTCGGACGGCGCTGCAGATCTTTCACCTTGTCGTCGTCTCGTTTGGGCATGACTTCGAATTCTATAAGCCTCTTCTTCATCGCCCTTGGACAGCGAGGCTGACTTGGCGTCCTTGATCACAAAGTGGTATTGTTCCATGTTCATCCGGCACTTTTCGAATTCTAGAAAACGACATGGCTGCTATTGACCGCGACCTCTGCTTTTAAGTCGCCGACTGTAAGACGTGATGGCCGATGAGTTTGTCATTTGCTGTGGGGAACAATAACTCGCAATTGCCTCCAAGCGAGTTGACAGGGCTATACAGGGCATTCTTCCTATTTTAAGAAGGTCGGCTGGACTCAGGTGGTGTAGTTAATTTGAGCTAGAGTACTCGGCGAGTTCGGTAGCTGGGGCTGAAAGCTAATCACTATGATCCGTAGCAGTTGGCGTTGCACTATCGACCATCAAGGTGCGGCGTCACTCTCGTCCCGATGTTTGGCTGCTTGGCTGCTGCATGAAGCTGAGGTGGAAGAATCGTGGCTCCTCCAGCTGATCAGTCGCTGGATCCAAGGTACAGGATGTGCATGAGCAAAGACCACTCCTCCACGGTCAACGTATCGCTCATCCGCTAATGTTCATCACTTCTGACCTCCATGGCTTGACCTTCAGTCTCGCTCTCGTCCGGATCCGGCTTCATCGTATGTAAAAGGTGAGGGATGACAGGAAGTCCAGTTGATCAACACCACCTTATGGCCAAATGTTCATAGGCTATCGACCTCGGCAAGGAATCATGTTGCTGGGTCGTTCTTCTCCGAAACATCTGACCAAACCTGTCTCGTTCAGCATCAAAATCGTTCGCAGCTTTCTTTTCCCAATCATCTTACTCAGAGTGCTAAAGCCGAGAACAAAGCACCATGTCAGGCATACTCCGTGTCTCTCTGTTGCTGCCCCTGGTCGCGGTCCTCCTGTATAACCAGTCCTCCCAGCTCGGCCGACTCGTTGGGCGCGTGGAAATCGACAAGACCAGACTCGTGCGCTGGGAGAACAGCTCGGCACTCAACAACCACGACTGCCAGGTCATCAAGGCCGCCAACGCGTGCGAGGACGTCAAGATCCATTTCCCGTCGCACACGGCCTTCTTGTCCTGCGGAGATCCCGTCGAGAGAACCCATTGGTATCCATGCGCAGGCGTGCGCACCGTCTCGCTCCGGGCCGAGTCTTCCTTTCGTGAGCAGCTGTTCAAGCACGATCTGGAGACGGGCCAGACGACAGAGCTACAGATCAAAGGCCTGGAAGGTGACTTCATTACCCACGGTATTGACATCTTTCCACTCCCTGAAGATGCCTCTCGAGTCAGTCATTTGCCTTTCCCTTCTCCTTGAAGATCGTGTTGAGAGAGAGTGTAGTTTGACCAGGGAATTGAGTTACATAGATCCACATCTTTGCAGTCAACCACGCTCGCAGCGGCGACTCAATTGCCATATTCGCGCATACGCTTGGATCTGACGAGGTCGAGCTGGTGAAGAATGTCAAGCATCCGAATATCAAGACAGCCAACGGAGTAGCCGCGACGGGACCATTGTAACGCAGTCGACCCGTTCCTCCGAGAATGACAGACAGAGCTGACCCTCTCACAGGGACTTCTTTGTGACCAACGACCATTACTTCGCAGGAGGTCCGTTGCGGACAATGGAGGAGATGTTCGGGCCCTGGGGCTGGGCAACCAATGTTCAATACTGCAACGCAGAGGCAGATGTAGGTGGTCGTCGACGCTCGAGTTGTGAATCTGTCCTCACGTGTGTGTTTGTGTGATCATCAGGAAATCCTCTGCAGACAGGTCTCGGGCACCTTCACAGGCGCCAACGGGATCAACGTATGGAAAGACCGTCTGTACGTCGGCGACTCGAAGAACGGAACCGTGACTGTGTTCGAGGTGCACGGAGACAAGAGTTTGACATATTTGCAGACCGTGGTAAGTGTCTCGCATCCGCCAGCATTGGCCACGCAGACAAACAAACAAAACCAAACAAGTCAGCTGCTTACCTTTCTACGCACCATCACCGCCAGGATCTGGGAGCTGCGGCAGATAACATCAACATCGTTCCGACCACAGGCGACCTCATCGTGGCAGGTAAGCCAACCTAACCCGTCCCTCTTCTCTGCGTAGCTATCTCTAGACCCGATGCTGACGACCGCATCCCTCTCTCCGCCTCAGTTTTCCCCACGCTCGAAAACCTTTCCAAATACCTCGAAAACGTCAAGTCGCTGGGCAAGGAATTCCTGGTGCCAGCCGCAGCGTTGCGCCTGCGCCGCGAGTCCAACTACACGCCCGAGCTGATCTACTTTGACAACGGGGCAACGCTCAGTTTCATGACGGCCGCACACGTGTACAAGGACCTGATTGTGGGTGCCAGCGTGCTTCAGTTCGGCGGGTTTGCCGTCTGCAAAGCAACGTCGGTGCTGGATGTGTAGGTCTTGTGTGGTCATGTGGTTGCGTGGGTTTGCGTGGCTGGAGGGGAGAAGAATGGGCATCTAATGCCGCACTGCCATCTACTTCATACGTAGATTCCTCCTACCTGAATGGTACTAGGACAGTGGCAGATTTCACGAGACGATTAAGGGAAAGAGTTGAGTGGTGATCATGGGTGTAGATGTAAGATGGCTCGACTAACAGGTGAAGCTGGTCTTATGCTCCCCACCTCTGATTATATTTATGAATATACTGACGTGTGCGGTATGTCCAAGTGTTTACGGCCTATTTTCCAAATCTTCCCGTGATACAGTCCAACGAGCGATTATTCAGCTTTGGCTTCACGGAAATAGGCCGAGTGTTTCCGCCCACAACTGTCCCATTTGGGCTTTCTGGGTTGTCCCGGATCGGAGATTGATGATTTGTCTTACTCTGTCCAAGTCTGCGAATTGAATCAAAAGATTTCCCGCGCTGAGCAGGTACAGCAGCATCTCATCCTAGACATCAGGACTTTGTGGCGGCTGTTGAGTGGGTAGAAGAGTAGCCGCCACAGGGAAAGCGCATTTACTCATACGGCGGCTTGAAGATCAACCAGTCGCTCTCTGGATTCGGAATGACAAAGGCCGGCGTGGCTCGATAGCTCGTTGGCTGGCCTTGCGTCGGCGTCGTCTGGTTCTGGTTTGTAACCGACACGGTTGGATCAAAGGCATTGTTGCCTGCAATAGCATTCAGTCGAGGGTAGTTGAAAAAATCAAACACCTCCAGAAATTCCAGCTCGCTTTGCGATGAGTTGTGTGTGGTAACGGTGTCGAGGACGGAACGGGGACGTTGGGAGGTAAGGAGATTCAATTCGTAAGCACATCTGAAGAATGGCTCATCAGTTTCCGTCGCACTGAGCAGTCAAAAGACCCAGGACACTTACCTTCTCATTGCGGTGAATGTTCTACCCGACCCGTTGCTGCCCTCTTGCACCACATCGTTCAATATCCTTGCATAATCTCCAGCAACTTGCCAGTGTTGCCCCATCTGTTCAAGAGTGGAGATGAAGAACATGATTTTCGGATCAACTTCACACTCCATGGTTGCAGCATGGACGAGCAGGAGCCTGGCAGAAACCCAAAGGGCAAAGGCAAAGGGGTGGCCGAGAAGCGCAAGCATGCCGGTGTTCATCACGTCTTGTGCGATCTCCCTCAAGCTCTCCACGGCGCCTAAACAGCGTTGAATCGCGTGGTATGATGGTGTGAAAACAGGTGATTTGAGCGTTGGATAAGCAGCAGAAGAATGCAGGCGGATCACGGACGTGACAAACGCCGCATGCAGCATGATCCAGTTGGAGATCCGACTTCCCGGATCTGAGTGGCAGAGTTGAGAGATCTTCCCGTATTCACCAGGCAGATTCTGTAGCCAATCATTCAGCTCGCCATCCAGCCCACGGTAGGTTTCACGCCACCGCTGTATATCGGAGTGGCGGCTGATATCGAGAGGTTGATGGAGGAACCGATGGATGCGACTCAAGATCCCAAGCACTTCACAGTGGTAGGAGAAACTTCCCAGATTTTCTGGTTTATTCACAATCAGTTCCGACGGTGCGCCTCGTCGACGCCATCTTGTCTCAACAGGTTCGTTTCGTGAAAACAAATCATAGCGACATGGGAGACATCGGTCCATTTCCCTTTCGTCGAGGGTAAAGGTGTCCGCGGTAGCAACAGTTGCATATCTATCGAGAATAAATGTCATCCAACACAGACGGCGACGCTCTTCGTTCTCGATCCAAGACTGAGGCTGTGCGGCCTGCAGAAGCGTGGCTGACGGATAAGTACTGGACTCAAGGTAAGCACTCTTCTCCACATCCAGTCCAAGTTGAACGATATTGCGCGTAATGAGGGCCAGGAGATTCCAGCCCTGCTGACCGTTCGACGTCCCGAGCACATCAACGGCAAGGATTATCAGCGCCTGAAGGGCGCGGACGTTCGGGTGGTCCAAAGCATACATCATGATCTTTCGTCTGGAGATCTCGTGAAACTGGCCCCTTGACTCTGGTGTAAGACGGGGGTCCTTGGAGAAGCGCATCGTAGTGGCGACAATGGCATGCATGAGCACCTTTTCCGATTCGTTCATCGATTGCGAGCCAAAAAAAGCATCGAATGTGGCCTTGCGGTCCAGGATAGGAGACCACGGGTTGACGTGTTTGAAGTAGAGATCGACCAAGGTATATAGCAAGTCGTATGGAGGAAGCTCCGAATCCGGTATCGACGGCGCAGGGGTAGCTGATGGAAACCAAGCAGCTGAATGGCCTCTTTCGCTTTGGCCCGCCATGTCGTGACTACCGTTGTCCACAACAGACCGGATGGACATGGCATCTTGAGGTCGAGGGTACTGCATTCGTTCATAGGCATTGGCGACAGGCCATCTGGGATCGGAACTGGGAGTGTCTTGAGAAACGATACTGGCTGTTGACGGGCGAGGGTCGGTCTGGGCATAAGTGTTGAACGAAGCGGATTGGGTTGGATGAGAAAGACGAACGGAGCCCGGTCGATGGGTGGAAAAGTCCCCATGTTCAGCGATATGTTCTTCGAGGCGGCGACCCATAACCTGGAGCAGCGCTTCGAGGCGATTGATCTTCTCTTCTAGTTCGCGACCGTAGCCGACTCGAAGGCCGGGCTTTTGACGCTCTTTGTAAACACATGTTCGATTGTTGCGTGCACACCAGCCACAAGCGGGCTCTGCTCTGTCGCACTTGACTTTCCGGGCCTGCTCCCACTGATTAAACACACTGTAAGTCAACACGCTCAGAACTAGTTCCTACGGACCTTACAGAGCTCACAGCTAAGAACGACAGTTAGAGTCGATAATAGTAGATGGAGGCGGAGAGGAGCCAGGAGACTTCTTACGAGATTTTCAGGAGCCTCTTTCTCTTTTTGCTCGTGGTGGTGCCATTTTCCGGCGGATTATCGGCATTGCCATCGTCATTCTCGGCATCACTCTCGGAGACAGATGAGTTTCTCTCCTCGGAGGCGTCGGTAGGAGAGGTGTGGACAGCGGTGTAAGTGGACATTGGCGCCAGGCTCTTAAGGTCCGTTGAGGAGAGCGTCGCGACATTCAAGCTGTGAGAATCAACAGTGGAGACCGATACCGAGAGCAAGGACAGGAGGTAATATCACACGGGATGATGGGAACTGCTGCAGGATGCCGGATCCCGAGGCACCCACCACAAGTCTGGTTGGTTGTCTACTCGTAGACCAAAAGCGAAAAACGGAGATGGGAAGAAAACCCCGCGTTAAGGAGGCCACGTTCCCGCAGCCAACAATCTCGGATGATAGGTTAATCCGACTTGGCATACTAGCCGTATTTGTACGCTGTTCGTGAAAGAGAGAACGGAGAAATCCGCGATCCCGCGGGGTAACCCGAGGTGGGCTTACATAACCTGTTCACATACCAACAAGGCACCGCAACCGCCATCTCAGCCGTTCTATATCTTCAAGGGTCACTACTCATCGCCTCCAAGCCGAACCAACCTTCGAAGCTTCGCCGGTGTCCTCATTCTCAAGCCATCACCAACCCACTCAACATGTCTATCCGATTGATCAACCCTCCTGATGTACCCCCTCCACGCCCGACATATTCCCACGTTCAAGTCACGCCTCTCTCGGCCACAAGCACTTTGGTTACCATCGCAGGCCAGGTCGGCGTTGATCCCAAGACTAAAACCACACCCCCATCCTTCATCGCGCAGGTCGAGACCGCGCTGGCAAACCTGGGCAGATGTTTAGCGGCCGTGGGCGCTACGCCCGCCGACATCGTCAAGATGACCCAGTTCGTGGTCAACCTGGATCCCACCGACACGTCGCGGTCCGAGGCTTATTCCAAGTTCTTGGGTGATCACCGCCCGCCGAGCACGCTGGTGGGTGTTGCGGCGCTGGCTACGCCGGAATGGTTGTATGAGGTCGAGGCTATGGCTATTGTACATCAGAAGTGATTGGCAAACTGGAACCAGGGTATTGAGATGTTGAAGGTCATTGGAGGAGGAACCAACTTGTGGCCGTCGTGTTTCCGCTGCCAACAGCAACAGCAGCGCCCATCTCACATCAGAACCCAGTGTTCCTTCAATTCCATCAGTGTCCAGAGTCTTCGGCATCCTCTACCTTTGCCTTTTTCCCACCCTCACCACCCTCCACATCGTCCACAAATCCCACCTTTCGTTTGCCCAGGTTTGAAGATCCTTCCGCAGCTGGCGGCAATGCAGCTGGAGTCGACGCAGAGGATCCTAAGCCACTGTCTCCTCCATTGGCTTGTGTGTTCTTTGGCTTCTTTCGCTTGACCAACCCTGATACATCAGTCGCGGTCTCCGCCACTTGAGCCAGTTTCTGTTTCTTCTCCTCTTCGGATACGCCGCTTCCCAACAGACTGCCCAGCACACCGGAGATTTGTTCTTTCATCTGAATTTCCGACTCCGCTTTGACACTGACGGGTGGCTTGCGGAGCTCTGCCAGCCGCACTTCCATTTCTGTAATCATATCTTGAACATCCTCAATCTGAGCCATAGCCTTATCTTTTTGCGGACCTGCTTCGAGCTTGTCCAACGCAGCTGTTTCTTTGTGGACACGCAATTTACAACTTTCAATCGCCTTCTCTTGCTGGGCGATAGCCTCGTTCCTGATATCCCAATCAACTTGCAAGTCACCGGTTGGATTTCCCTGCTCATCATGCTGTTGTGTCTGAGAACTGAACTCGAGAGCCAGACTGAGCTTGTAGTGACATTCGGCTAGAATACTCGACTCTGGAGGTTCAAGCTCCTCCCTTAGGGCAAGACACGCCTTGAGATCTGTGACGGCATTCGAGTATTTCTCACCTTCCAGAGACACTTCTGATTGCAGATCATAAATGTCTGCCACGCGGGTCTTCAGTGACTTGACCTCTGGTGTAAGGTCTATTGATGCAACATATTTGCCTTTCTCGGAGTCTTCGAGTGCGTGTTCCTGACTTTGATCCAACTTCTTGAGATACAGGATGCGCGCCAGATCCAAAAGCTCGTAGGCCGTGGCGAAGTCATCGTCCTCTTCTTCTTCTTCTTCTTCTTCACCCTCCTCTTCCTGGTCTGCTTCCTCCTCATCCGAGTCATCCCAACCTTCGGCATCACCCGAAATCTGAAAGTATGGCTTGTCTGAAGCGGTCTCCTGAGGCTGCACGTCCTCCTTGGGGACGATATCAGCGACATTGGACACTGGCTCCTCTGGGATCGCATCCATCAACTTGGAGCTTTCGCCAGCTTCCCCTCCGTTTGTAGACACCGCTGCTTTTCCTGCGCCGTTTGCTTTTCTCTTCTTTCCAGATTTTCGCGATTTGCTCGAGGATAATTGCGCTGATGCCGCGGTGCCGCCCAAGACCGAGCTTGTTTGCTGCGCCAGATAGAACAAGCATTTTCCGTACGAGTATAACAGGTCGGCGTTCTCGAGCGCCATCTCTCCATTGAGCTCTGCTTGCAGCTCCGTCGCCTGGGAATACAGCTCTGCCGCCTCTGGGTAGTGTTTGACCGCATATTCGGCGGTCGCCTTTGCGATAAGATCCGCCAACTGCTCTTGCTGGGTCGGCTCCGGGTTGGACTGGGGAGTTTCGTCAGTAGTCGCAGCCATGACGCGCGATGAATGCAAAGTTGTGGAGGGACAAAAATTGCGATGATGAGATGAGATGAACGGTAGTGAAGGGTAGATAGAATATGGTGGAGAGTTGAAGGAGAAAGTGAAGAGCCGTGACAATGTTGGTGTGTGTGTAAAAAAGGTCACGTCACATCCTTGTCCCCGACGCGGCACGCGCGTAAAGTGATTTGTTTACGCGTCAAGGCTCAACTTTTCTCCTCCTTTCACCTTATCCCAGGTGCTGTACACCCTCCTCAATCAATTCAGTCATGGAGGAGCCCATTTCGACTCCTGGGCTACCCAGGCGAACATACAAAGCCGGGTCTAACCTGCAGACTGAAGAACAATTACTCTCCTCATCGCCGGGTTTCGGTACACCGGCATACCCCATCAAGAGCCGACCGACAGAAGTTGCAAAGCCCTTTGCAGCGCAATTGAACACTAGCATAACTACACACAGCGCTGCTCCGACAGTCTTACCGATCCTTCTTCCCCCTCAAACTCTCAGACCTGTGGCTTTCAGGACCCTCACGAAAAAACACAACCTAACCCTGACCTCCTCAGGTCTCGGCTTGCTCTCTACATTCATTGGTAAATTCTGTGGCAGCGGTTGGCGAGAAGAAGGCCTTGCGGAACGTGTATTGGACGAGATAGCCAAAGCATGGAAAAAGTGCGGAGGTGGCCTCCTCATCGAGGATGGGCCCGAGAAAAAGCTGTCCAACATCTTGAAGACTCTAGAACCGTGCATGTCAGGCGGGCGTCTGGACACTGGCAAACTCTCCCGGAATAACAGTTCACTACCGAGTCCTAATCTGTCCCGAACACCCTCATATACCGCCGGTAGACAAGATGTGAATATAGATATCGGCCAGTCCAACTTAGGACTCTCGACGCTCAACGTGGAAGATGGGGGTTCACGAGACCGAGTGGACGAAGAAGAGCAATCTCAGTTGGATGTTCGGTCATACCTGAAAGTTGTTTCGGCGTTCGACCAGCCACGACTGATGTATTCGACTTCATCAAAAAGCCTGGAGCCCATCCACGGGACAACCAGCCTGCTCCCTCCGATACAACACAAGATATCGATGTTCAGAAATCATTACCATCTCGTCCACCAGCGCCTAATGCGGAACGAATCATTCCAGACTCCCTCATTTGCGACCACCACGCGACCGCCCAGACTGATGCACTCAGCAAGTGGCATGACAACGATACAACAAGCTTACAAGATTACGCCAATAGCAAACCTGCTTGGTCGATCAGGAACTGCCCACCTTCTGCTCGGCCTGCTGGTACATTCTCCCGCGGGAGATCTCTCCCTGACAGACCTATCCGGAAGCGTGGTCCTCGACCTCTCAATAGCACGGCCGGTGCCTGAAGACGGCGTGTGGTTCTGTCCTGGCATGATAATTCTTGTGGAAGGAACTTACGAAGAAGACGGCTCTCACAATTCAAATCTGGGTTCGGCCGCGGGTGTAGGTGGACAGATCAAAGGTGTTTTTGTGGCCCATACATTGGCCGGGCCGCCAGCCGAACGACGAGCTATATCACTAGGTGTTTCCGCCGACTCGGGAGGTAACACACATGCGAGCACGGGCGCAGGATTTGGCTGGGTCGACTTTCTCGGGGTAGGGAGTGAGAAAGCGCTGGGGAACCAGATGCGTCGACTGCAACGACGTGTCTTCCGACCACCCACTACCTTCCAGACTCTCAATGTCCCGGATGATGACCAGATCGAAACCGAGCCGCCCCGCCGCCAAATTGCCCTGTTGGGGGAATGTAACCTCGACAGTCCTCGAACACTAGAAGCAATTCGCGCCATTCTTTCAGCGTACAGCACCTCCAGCTCCGGTCATATAAGTGACCTGCCCTTCTCCATCGTCATGATGGGCAACTTCGTCTCGGCGGCAAGCATGTCAGGATCCAGCAGGGGTGGTGGAAGCATTGAATATAAAGAACATTTCGATGCCCTGGCTTCGATCCTGGCAGAGTTTCCTTTATTGGTGGCAAACACGACATTCATTTTCGTCCCGGGAGACAACGATCCGTGGGTGAGTTCGTTCTCAGCGGGAGCCAGTTGCATGCTCCCGAGACAGGGGGTGCCAGAGGTGTTCACCAGCAGAGTTCGACGAGCCTTCACTACCGCCAATGCCGAGATCCATGGTGCAGCCAAAGAGAAAGACGCGCAAAAAGGAGAGAGCATATGGGCGACGAACCCGGCAAGATTAAGTCTGTTTGGACCATTGGAAGAGATTGTGATGTTCCGCGACGACATCACAAGCCGCTTCCGACGCACTGCCATCACTTTCCCGAAGCTCGATGGAGATGACGAGGGCGCCGAAGCAGCAGCAGCCGCCGCCGCCGCTAATGTCCAGGACCAAAGCCAAGAGGCCTCGCAGTCGGATATGGAAGAGATGGATCTGGACAATCCGAGAAGAAATCTCGACAAAGCCGTCCAGAATGCAACCTCCCACGTCCCTTCGTCAGACCCGACGCCATCAAGTCCCCCATCCATTCAAGCGGCAAGGAAACTGATCAAAACCATCCTGGACCAGTCGCACCTCTCTCCATTCCCTTTGTCGATCCGTCCCCAGCTCTGGGATCACTGCGCGTCATTATCCCTCTACCCACTGCCCACGGCACTGGTGCTCTGTGACGCCGAAATGCCGGCCTTCGCGATTAGCTACGAGGGATGCCACGTGATGAACGCGGGAAGGCTGGTGGACGAATTCTCGCTGCGTAGAGGCCAAGGTGGCGTCAGCAGGGGCAGTGGTGTTGCGAGATGGATCGAGTATGACTGTCGAAGCAGGAAAGGGGAGGAGAGGACATTGAGGTTTTGAGAAACCAGAGGAGCAGCCAAGGATTAGACATGTTCCTCTCGAGCCGAGCCACTGAGGACAGGAAAAAGGAGGTGGAAAGACAAGAAGTTATGTTGTTGTTATTATAACGATGATGAGCTACCATGATAAAATTGATGTTGAAGGTTTTTAGTCCCGGCAAAGTCCAAGACGTGACACACGGAGGAGCGTGTAGTTTCCGCATGGCACAGAGCATATAGTATCCATGATATATACATATATTTCGCCATTCCAAGACTCTTTGGTATTTTCTGGAACTGTCGAACGTTGCCCTGTAGCATCCACTCCCAGCTGGAGTCGACTTGATTTCTGTAAAACTCGTGCCAGCTACGCGAACCGACGTGATGTGGGATGCATTTTGTAGACCAGCATATGTCTTTCCTGTTAGGGACGGGGAGGTATGTACAGGTATGTACATGTACATCCACGGCTTTGCGGCTGGGTACCTGGGCATCTGGGCTTAGACAGGAGTAGTCGAGTTCCGAGAAAGGTCGTGTATGCATCACGTCTCATTTCTTAATGGGCGACTGGTTGACTGAATGAGGGCTGGGTGACAAAGGCGACACACGGTCCTCATCAACCGTCATGTGCTGGGTTACTGATAGTGATAGCAGCAGCAGCAGCAGCAGCGAGGAGGACAAGGACCCCCCTCTCCCCCTCACTCAAGCCGGACAAGGAGCAGAGGGGCCCGTTGACTCGGGCCACTCACGTATAGAAGTGGCGCCGAATTGTGTCGTTGACACGAGGGTCTGAGCCCAACTTTTCTCTGTGCGTTCGGAGTGGTAGGTTCGCGAACAACTCGTCCCGATCGACGTAAGGAGCACGTTCCTCATTGCGCCTTCTGCCGCCCACGGGGTTGACTGCAGCGTCGACGGTGGCGGCGGAGGCTCCACCGACAAGAGGACTCTCGGAGCGAACAAACACATTGTCACGGCCTCTCTCACGGCGGATGATGTTTGGCCCGTCAGTGAAGGAGCGGTGGATAACGAGATGAGGGTCCTCAGAGCGAACGGATACATCGTCACGCACTCCCTCACGGACGGGAGAAGCCCTAGTATCCGTCGAGGCGCGGTCAATATCAGGTCGAGAGTCCCTAGAGCGTGCGTACATGTAATCATCATCACGGCAACGGGGGTCCTCTCTGCGCATGTACATGTAATCATCATCACGGTACCGGGGATCCTCCTTGCGTACGTACGGGTAATCATCATCACGGTACCCGGGGTCCTCCTTGCGTATAGGTTCATTGTTACGCCCTTTATCAAGACGAGGGTCCTCGGGGCGTCTGATGTCATCGTCACGCACTCTCTCTCGGAAGATGATGTTCGGTCGGACTGTGGGGCGATCATTGATGCCGTCGACACCAGTATAGCTGTTATAACGTTGTCGGGAGTCGTAAGGAAGGGTGTAGCCCCCAAGGGGAGGCACATAGGAGCCGCTGCCGTAGTTGTTGTAGTTGAAGTTGTTGCCGTACTCGAAAGTGCCGTCGTCAGCCCCTAGGCTTGCATCCCGATCACGACTTTGAGAACGCTCCCGGTAACGGTCACGAATTCCAGGGCTTGCATCCCGATCACGACTTTGAGAACGCTCCCGGTAACGGTCACGAATTCCGGGGCTTATAACCCGATCACGACTTCGAGAACGTTCTCGGTAACGGTCACGATCACCTGGGCTTCGATATCCCGGAGTGGAGGGTCCCAAGGGATATCCCCAAGGATCAGTGAGACTGTCCTCCCGAACAACCTTGGGTCGCGTGGTGTAGCGAGAATCATCAGCGGCCTTCGTGGTGAACATATCCTCTCGACCTGACAGGCTGTTGCGTGAGTCTGTCGTTCCCACGACGCGTGGTTCTCGCGGATGGTCATCTCTCCGTCTCGAATCCTTCGGAAGCTTGCTAGACATCCTGGAAGACCGTCTCGACTGACCTGCATCTTGCCGACCCGAGGCCGTTTTCCATGCTCTCATCCCAAGGACCTCCGCAGCTGCGAGAGCTGCTCTTTGTCCTAGCGTTCGGCCGTCGGGCGTTTTCTTCCCTGCTTCCTTCTCACGACTCGACCTTGATGGAAGAAAATGCTTGCGAGCTGCATCCGCAACCGCCTCCGCTATCACTGGATTGGCCCCACTGAAGGGGTCGGTAGGAGAGGTGTGGACAGCGGGGGAAGTGGTGGTTTGCGATGTCTTCATCTTCGATAGTTCAGCCTCGAGTTCTTCCACTCTTTTTTGCGACTGCAGGTAGTAATTTCTCCAGACGTCATATAACCCTTCTTCGGACGGCTTCGGGTTTGCGGCCGTGGTGTTGCCTTCGCTGGACGCCTGTTCGTCTGCTGCTCGTGGGGTGGAGGACTCGGCTCCATCTGTAGCGGCGGCTGCAGCTGCGGTGACGGTGCCGTCGTCCTCCAGGTTGGTCCATTGGTCAAGCAAATCTCTCAACAAGTCGACCGAGTTGGCCATCACAAGGCTTCGCTCCTCGGAAACATCGCTCGCTTGACCCACCAGCTGCCTGAATTGGACCATGGCGGTGGTGTTGATTAACGGTGGCACATGCGGTGAATGCTTGACCAGAGCCGTAGAGACGCGACCGCCGTTGCAATTGTCACTGTCATTGCCATTTGTGCCAGTGATCTCGTCGTCTGCTGTTTGATCGTCCTGTTCAGCCTTGGCCTGGCAATCTTCCTTTACGGCGGCTGCGTTGACCTGTTCCACAATGGCAGTCTGCGCCCTTGCGAACCGTCCTGCGCTGCCTTTTTGGATTTCTTCTTGCGCTTGTGCCTCCGTATGGTCCGGCCGGCATACAGGACGCTCACCAGGAGATTGACGGTGCTCTTCAAGTACTGGATCTCGGAGACCAGGAGATCGACCTTGGTCTTCTTGAAATTCCACTTGATCTTGTCCACGAAGCTGACCTTGTCGGCCCGGTCTGGCAGGAGATCTCGGATCTTGTCGAACAGGTCACAAGAATGGCCGTATATGTCATTGACTAGGTCAAGAGCCTGGCGGGAGTGGATTGGTTCGTCGTCGTTGATCCGCCGAGCGAGTATTTCGAGAACGTCCGAGTAGAGCGTGACATGGCGGGCAACATAGTCCGTCTGTTCTCTGGCCGATGAAGCAGTCGAGCCAAAATTGTAGAGGACCGTAGTCAACCGAATACCGAAAGTTGAGATGCCCAACAATGAGGCCACCAGGCCAATCTCGGCCATGACCGCAACATCAACCTGTGACTCGTGAGATGTGATCCCAAGGTCAATTGATCAGGACGTCAAAGAGTTTCTGATGGAAAGTACAAGAGAACATAAGCATCACGACTAGACGAAAGGTTGAGGTCTCAGGAAGAGAAGAGGCCAGGCTCACAGCCTCATTGAAATCTGCCTCTCATCAACACCGGGCGGAGGGGCTGGAGTTTGTATCGGCGCTTCCATTGGCTGTGCCCACGGCACCAAGCGAAGCACCAAGATACGGCTCAGTGGTCGCTATTCAACTCTTGGTCTAGTCATGGCTTGTGCTAATGCACTTCGTAGTAAACGAGGTGTCGGGTAGCATTTGTCGCCTGGATTTCCACTCATGATCCCCTTCAACTGCCCGCCTCCCCCCGGTTCTTGTACATTATGGTTGCCTTGCTGCAGACTCTTCGGGCACCATCGACATGCTCCCCCGATTCAAGGTCCGTCCACAAGTACTCCTAGTACTCCATCTTTAGTCTCTCGAGTCTTTTCATGGCCGCCTCGATCACGGCACCTTCCCTCTCCACCGTCGCCATGATATCCGCGATGCGTTCTTTTTGCAGTCGACTGGAGACGCCCAGTCCGCTGAAATTGGAACTTCTAGGAGATGCAGCCGCTCCACTGGACCGGGACGTGAGAGTGATTTGTGAGGCTGACATGGACGGCGTGATGGATGATGCCGAGATTGAGGAGACAGATGCTTCTAGGGCTGGAGGACCTTTGGGCGAGGCTGGGTGCTGTTGCTGTTGTTTTTCGATACCGTGAGCTTCTCCAACGAGGGATTGAGTGAGTTGTTTGACCTGTAGTCTACATGTCAATCGTGTTTCCGGAACAAAGGAGAGCAAAATCGAGATACATACCATCGCAAATCGCTTTTCGAGATTGGTCTCTCCTCCGCCACTCTCTTGCTTACCCTCTCTACCCACAATGCCAACAGTCTGCCCCAGACTCTCAATCTCATGCATCCAGGCCAATTCCTTGGAGCTCAGCTCTCTATTCGCCGATCCAACACGTCCCACCTTCCTTCTCAAAGCCTCGTACCTCGCCACCAAGTTGCTCTGCTTCTCCCGTGCCTCGCTGATCCGGGTCTCGGGTGACTTCTTCTCCCTGACCTGGCCGTTTTCATCCTCCTCAGTATTGGCGGTAAGGCGCTGCAACTGCTGGGCAAGTTCAGTCATCTGCTTGACCTGGCCAGCAAGTTCGATTCTTAGGCGCTCACATCGCCTGAAGAGCTCTGCAGCTGCATTCTCTAATTGAGCAGACTGCCCGCCAACCGTGCGATGCGTGAAGGTCATAATTTCTAACATGGCCGGGCTCAAACGCATAGGCCGTTCGGAGATGGCTTTCTTGAGATGTGGCGGCAGGCGTTGGCGCATCGAATCGATCGGGCTATGCTGGTTGAAGTAGAAGATTTTGGGAGGACAGTACGGCTCTCGTGTGGGAACCGTTTCGACAGGCGACACTGGCAGATTCGCAAGTTGAGAATCCACATGAGTAGAAGACATAGTGAAGTCGGTAATGGAGGGACCAACAGATGAGATGCCGGTCGGAATCTGGTCGAAAACTACTCCGTACGCGGCGGTCGAGCTCGCAGTCAAGAGCAAGTATCCCAGTGATGTGTCGTCAATGATAGTCGGAGCCGACAGAGCCTCAGACTGCTCCCGTGCTTCAATCAACTTGTCGATTACACAGACTCGATTCTGACATCGGGTCTCCAGCCTGGTTCGCATGCCAGGATCGACAGGCTGTGTCCCAGAGAGTTCGACACCCAGCTGAGTAACCCAGTCATTCAATGACAATGAGTAGACACGCGTCAGAGTGGTCACAAAAATGGAATAAGCGGAGGCGATATCCGGAGTGAATACTGGCCAATTAGCAGCAGGGTTCGCCCCCGAACCGTCAAGCATAACAACATCGGCTAGTGTCAAGGGTGTAGCGTCAGATGAAGGCACACCGAATGCACTTTTCCCTTTCTTGGGCAGCCACTGTCCTGTTATGCCATCAAGATCGATGGCAAGCCAAACTTGGTTTTCAGGGGTGGCAATACAGACAGTTGTGAACGGTATAGGCTGGACGAGATTCTCGTCGATTTCGTCGTCGTCTTCGCCATCGAACAAATCATTTTCATCGAGCTTCGCAGGAAACACATGTATATCAGACACCTCAATCTCGGAAGCTTCCTCATCGGAGACGATCGTGAAGGGCCCCTGGAGACGTGGAATGGCACTTGGGTTTTGCGGCCTGAACCGAACCTCAAACTCGCCCAGGCTGTCTGTCGATTTATGGACTTGAGGCTCCTCGTTGTCGATTTCTTGGACCCACTCGTATTGCTGGTCGGCGGCGCGTCTTTCGTCCATGTCTGTCTCGTCGTCGTTGATTGATGCCATGCGCGACACAGCAGTCGTGGTCAACGATGGAATAGTTGTTGCTGTCGGTTTCCACCTCGATGGCAGTAACGGACATAGAGCGTACAAATCCCCATTCCTCATTGCAACCCAAAGAGTCATGCTAGCCCATGCATCTTCATCCTCTTTCCCTCGACCACCAAAACACGCAGCAGAAACCTCCATGTCAAAATCGTCGACAGAGAATCCGCGAGTTTTGCCGAAACCAGACGGCTCAAAGTCTTGGTCGCATGATACCCCATCAGCCAGTTTCCGTAGATCGATGGCCAGTTTGGGACGGTCGAGGGACCAGCTGTTTGCCTTGTCAAATTCCCATACTCGAACAGCCGCTTCAGCTGTCACGGTAACCAGACAGTCGGTAGAAGCAGTGGCATAGGCCAAAGGATGCCATAACACAGATGCAAGCGGAGATTCTGGGATGACATGGACAGTCGGACCAAGCTGATATGTTTTTACTTTCAACGGTGAGCGGTCATGCTCCTTCAGTCGTGATGGATCTGGAAGCACTGCGATGTGGACGGTATGTTCTGTGCAGATGGCCAGGAAAAGGCCAGAGGGCGAGATTGAAATCTGGCGAATCTGATAATAGACAGGAACAGCCAATGTCTACATTAATGTCAACATTATCTCTCTGTAAGACCCAGTGATTCCACATACTCTGTAAACACTGTCACGGGGAGACTCTGTGGCATCAGAGCGAGACAGACCAAAGCGACTGGTGCCAGACTGGGTGTTGTCCTCCCATTCGTCTCGAACTGCGCTTAGATCTGCCCATCTGATTTTGTTTCCCACGACCGCAAAGATATCCGTCCCCCTGCTAGCGACCAATCTCCTGGGCCCTTGGTATTGTGTCGAAGGAAGCGCGCCGAGATAAGAGGTGCGTTTGGACGGAGAGGCGGGCGACTGAGGTTCGGGGTCTGTAAAGATCTTTGATCCAGGCGAAGGTCGCGCCAGGAACGGGGGTGTGTACCCAATAACTTTGGGCATTGTGGCTCTTTAAGGCGAGAAACAATAGCAAGGACAGGCGCACATTGCAGTAGCAGAGTTTCTACAATCTGTGTCAGACGAGGTGTTACAAAGGTGCAGTCTCGCATATGTCAGTTGGTGAACATTTTCCTTGTTAAGGCGGTGCTGGGAAATCTACCTGCGGTTTACGCGCTGCCCTACCATTTCTGGTATGGTCGCGAGCGAGACGCGCCGCCGCTTTTAGCATTAATAAATCCCCCGTTCTTCGGCCCTCTCGATATTTCTCTCTTTCCTCGACTTCATTCCCTTCCTCACCTCTATCGCCGGTTTCGCCGTGGTATCAGAAAGACCCTGACAGAAAAAAAATGCACCTGAGACGTCCTGGTCGAATGCTTCTTGCAACGAAGACTACGCTTAGCCCAATCCTTTCAGATCCGCCATGACGTTCACACATGCCCAATATCCCGTGGTGATTAGAAACAGGTGGAATTGGATGGTCAATGGATGATATCGTGTCTTGAGCATTGGACAAAGCAGAACTGGATAGAAAACAGCATTTATCAGCCGTGAAGGGGTACACACCTTCCCAGACCACGGGCTGGGGGTTCTTTGTAAGGCAAACGAGACCCATGCAAAGATGGTATCGGGAACCATAAGGTGTTGAATGCCTGGAAACCACATCCTGAGTTAGACAGTGTTGACGATCTGAGCGTGGCCTTCACCGATGCTCGTTTCAGCCACGTTTCTAGCTCTTTATCCATGAACAATCACGTACCTGTCTATCCATTGTAAGCATTCGCGAGTCGGCTAGTGAAGGCAGTAGAAAGCGGCAGACCAGTGGTATCCGCGAGTCTGATGGTCCGAATGTTGTCCTCTCGTGAAGACTCAATATACCGTGCCATGTCTCTCATCAGATTTTTCCGCCATGCGAGGTTCCTAGGTGTGTTTTCCGGGGAACACGTGCCAGAACCGAGTCCATATGAGTGATACCCGGGCAATGGCTCTTCAAATAGACGTAAAGTGGTTGTTTTCCTTCCGTTTCCACGCGGACCACTTCCCTGAAGGAGACTTCTGGTGCTATCGATGGGTAATTTTTCTGGCTAGCGCATCAGTCTCCATACCGAGTAGTTGCACGCACCCTGGACCTCAACAGGAACAACAGCACCCTGGGCGAATTCTTTTGCTTGAACACCACATGTCGAGCGGGTAGCTGATGTCTTCGCAACGAGTGTGGCAATCTCATCGTCAACAGAGTATTCTGAGTAGCCCATCATTGTCCTAACGTCACCTTCGTTGGACCCATCTGCCAATGACCGATAGTATAGTACCACTGTCCCAGAACATACTACTCGCAGTTGGTCTTGTGGTCAACGGAGAAGTGGCTTGGGTATTGAGTAGTAGAAGGTCACGAAAGAAGTGTGGTGAACTGGATAAAAGCGGCGGAAAAAGAATCTCCATGTGATTGGATAGAACTCTGTGGTTGTCTAAGCCTAATTAGGCGGTGCGATCGCGCGAGGAGAAGACGCGGCGCAACTTGGCCTCATTTCTCTATCATTCAATCTCTCATTACTGCTCCAGAAGGGCGAAACAATATGTCCACCGTCGAGA